ATGACTCCGTCCGAAGAAGTACGACAGTTTCCAATGATAAAAACACTCATTTATTGTGTTCGATGATAAAGGTCATATACAATAGAAGTTTTATTCATTCGTTCATTGCTTGTGTTTCTATATATTTGTTTGTGGTTATGAAGGTATATGATAGAAACGATGGCAATCGAAAACATCAGACAATTGATCTGATACGAAGAAATAATAAATGCGGAAACTTCGGATTTAAATCCGAGAGTTATGTGTACTTCAAAAAGTGAATTAGACAGATAAGTCATCCTAGAATGTCTTGACATCAAAATTACACTGGGGAAACTTTCCGATAAACTGTTGTTTTCCATTGGCTATTGTCCAATCAATAGGACTTGGGGGTGAATACAGCTCAGATTTGTACTCTTCGCCTTGATTTACCCTTAGAAAGTCATTTTTCCTATAACTTGATTTCTATTGGTCACTGCTCAACCAATAGTATTTCGAGGCAAGTGGAGCACAGATTCGAGTTCTCCGCCCCAGAAAACCTCGAACTATGATCTCTGTGATCGAAAGATAGAGCTCTATTTGTGAATCAATTAGAGCATGGACAAAAACAGAACCTATTTCTGTTTAATTATCTTTGTAATAGGTGAGTTAGCCTTCTCGTTGCTTTATGTTTTATATACCATTTTGCAGCTCGTGAAATTCTCTATCGAATGGTATATAATAGTTGGGGTTTTATTTGACTATGATGGGAAAAGTCTTTTACGACAGCTGGGATGGGTCGATTTTCGCATAGGAAGCCATAGGGAAAAATGACTATTTTTGCAATAACTCACGAATGGCTCGGCTGATCATGCTCATCTTCGAACTCGACTGAGACATTGTTAAGACTAAACTGTGTAGAAAATTTCATCGCAATCGGACTCTTCTTTCAAAATTTATCGTGTAAACGGCCGGCCGGCCGGCCGGACACACTGACCGATTCTAGAGTGTACTCACTTTTTAAGTACACAACACTTTTTGAGTACACAAAAATCAAATTAATTCAATCTTTTATTTAGTCGATATAGAAAATGATATCTAAATATCTATAGGTATAATATCATCTCAATTAATTCTAATATATCTCGAAGTTTTTTTATTTATTTTACTTATATATCCTTCGAATTTCTATTCATCCAATGATGAACAATGAGAATCGTTAACTTTTATAAAAATCAATCCTTTTTTCTTTATGTTTAATCATATTTATTTATTTGTCAGATATATTTTAAATAAAAAATTCAAGATAAAAACACAACTGAGAACGTCTTTCTCTAAAAAGATTTTTTTTTCTTCGTATATATTCAAATTATTTCTAAGATGACTTAAGAAAAATATTTGTTTAAGATTGGTTTACTATAAAAATAAATTTAAAAATAAATGCGTTGAAATAATAGAATTGTTAATAGGTTTTTTTTTTATTCTCGATAAAATCGAATATATATAACAAACAAGTTAAAGAAATATTTTCATTCGGATTTTAACCTTGATTAAGAATTTATTCGATAAAGATGAAAAACGTTGAAGAGTATGTCAACGTCAGATTTAAACTGTCCTCATGGATTTTCTAAGATAAATTAGTTATTGATTTATTTTTTAAATTTAAAACAAAACTTGTTTTAAACCATATATATAGAATTATTTAAATTAGATTTAAAAATAACTAAATTGGATTATTTGAGAAGATTGTATTTAAGTTTTAGTCGAATATTTCGATTTTATTCCTAGTTCTCTTATATATAATAAATGTTATTTATCTTTATTATTAATCAAAATTGGACTCGATATATGAAATTATTTTATAAAGAATTTCAATCAGTCTAGACATTTTTTTTCTTCTCTTTAAACATTTAATTAATGATTAATAAATTTTATTTGAGAAATTGTCTATTAACAAAACGATTTGTTAGATATTATAAAAAGAGATAACAACCAACATTTTTTTTTCATTAGGAAAAAAAGCCCAATAAAAGCAAGAGTCAGAATAAAATTGTAAATATAGTCAATTTTTAATATAAAGAATATTTATTCTTTCGCTTTTTAATATAATTATCTTATATAAATAAATATATTCAATTAGAAATAAAATATAGATATTAGTTTTTTAAAAAGGTAAATAATCCTATTCGATCATTTTTCATATATTTTTTAAACCTAAATCGAGAGAATTTATTTAGTTATTCCTCTTATTGACCAAGAAGATTTATTATTAAATCTCGTTTGATAAATTAAAATTCAAGAAAAATGATTAAAATAAAAAAGTCGACTAAACTAAATCTTGATCTATTTCAAATGAGTAAATTGTTTAAACTGTTCAGAGATAAATAAATGATAAATAATTTTATAGAAATAATATATCCTAAGATAAATAATAAAATTATTTTATTAATATAAAATAGATATGATTTTTCTATAATTAACACTGAATAGAATATATCTATATAGAATAAAATCCATGATAAACATCTTCTTAGATTTAAAAAAACACGAACCCTTCTTAAAACAGTTTTATCGTTGTTTTTCAAGGAGTTTTTCTCCTGAGAGAAGGAGTTTATTCCGCGAAAAAAGTTCGATTTATCTCTGTTAGGAAGGTGCTCAGAAAAACTATCTTCTTAGCTAAGAAAAATTCTTTCGAGAATAAGGATAAAATCGTTTTGAGAAGGGCTTGAATTTTTTCAAAAAGGTCTTTATCGAGGATCTTTTTCGAAAGTTTTTATCATAGAAGATGGTTAAAAGATGAATATATAGGAAAAGTAAAATATGATATTATTTTCAATAATTGATTCTTGAGAGAATTTTTCATCATCTTTATAGTGAAAAATTGTAAAAGATTGAAAATAGCTAAATAAAACGTTTCTATTAAAAAAAGGTTGATAAAAAAAGAAGATCAATGAATGCCTTCCTGGAAAAATGTAACACCTCCTAGAAACAGTTTTACCGTTCTTTCCGAAGAAATTTTTCTTGTAAAAAAATTCTTTTTTTCTGAGTGTCTCTCTCTCTCTCTCTCAATAAGAAACATGCCGTTTTTTCCTCGAGAAAACTCCTTCTCTCAAGAGAAAAACGCCTTGACAAACAATTGTAAAAGTGTCTGAACAAGGTATTTTTTTATTCTAACAAGGCGTTTATCATTTTTTTTTCTAATAAGAATTGAAACTTATCAAAATAATATAATTATATAAGTAAACAATAAAAAAATCCACTCGAATTATAAAATATGTTTTATAATCTGGTTAATAATGATAAAATTCTAGTGAGTCAATATTATTTATTTAAATAAAATATATTTTTTTCTTCTCTTATCTATTTATATGAATAAATGTTTAGATTTGTATATAGATTGAATTATTTCGATCTTACTAAACGAATAAATATATTATATTGAATTTGATAACATATTCAATAGAATTAAATCATTATCAGATAAACAAATATTGAAATTGAAATTTAATTATTAGAAGATTGAAACAAAACAAAAAAAAAAGTAAGACGTTTTTATAATTAGTTTTATTTATTCTATTATAGTTAAAAATATAATTATCATTGGTTATCTATATCGAATAATATTATTTAAAAGAATAATTATTCGACATAGATAATTATCTGGATAAAATAGTTGAAATTTTTCAAAGATAATTAAATATGAGTCAATCATCAATTTTAATCATAGAATATATAATATTAACTTTATTTATTTATCTTGTTAACTTATATAAAGTTCGATTATTTTGATAAATATATTAAATGTTAGATTTTATAATATATCTATCGAATATAATCTTCTAGGTTTTTCTTGTTGAATAAATAAAGATTTGAAGATAGATAGAAAAAAGATTTTTATAAATAAAATAAAATATTTTAGTCAATTGACCATTATTATTAAAGTTCGATCATAGATTATTTCGAAATTATTTTAAAATAATATTTATCAAATATTATCTAAATCTATTTTATCATTCGACTCGATAATAATATTATTTGAATAATGATTGAGATTGAATTGAATAATTATTCAATATATAACATTAATTTATTCTAGATATATTCAATCAGAGGGAATAGCCTTTTTTTAAAGATAATATTGTTAAACGATTGAACAATTCTTTTAGGATATTAAAACATATTATAAAATCTATCTATCTTTTAAATCGAATGTGTATTATCATATAAATAATAATGATTTTATCTATATTTTAGATAATTATAGATAATAATTGTTTAAAAAATAAAAAATCAATTTATTTAATTAAATATAAATCTATAAAATAATATTTAAAGATGATCAACTCTTTAACAATATTCATTTTAATTCAAATTTCGACTATCCTTTTTATAATTTATCTTTTTTTGTTTATCTTTATAAATTCTTAATATAAAATAAATAAATTAATTATTGGTTAAATTAAAATAATATTTCTAATATAATAATAAGAATTTATTTTAAATAAATATATTTATAGAATTTATCTTATATTAAACAAATATTGAAAATAATAATAATAAAACATATCTCGTTTTAGTGATTAACTTCTTATAATTAATATCCATAGAACATCAATTAAAATCAGAGTAGAATCTATTATCTTATATAAGATTATTAAGAAAATAAACAAAAAACAATTTCTAAAATATGTTAAATATAGGAAAAGATGTTTTTTCCTAAGATTTATTTATTTATTCGGATAATCTTCGTTCTAAATCAGTTTTGTTTAAATAGTTCGAAGAATAAAACAAGAAAATGTTGAGTTAATATAAATATAAATATGATTTATTATAATATAGATTATAATAATAGATATAATTTATTAATTATTATTCTAGAAAAAATTCGTTAAATAGATATATGAAAAAAGGAGAGAAAAATATATATTCTCATTGTTTTATTAATTGAATAAAATAAATAAATAAATAATATTTTCAAAATCTTTTTTTCTTCTAGATCAATTAAAAAAAGTTCTATTATATAAATAAATGTGAAAATAAAAATGATTAAATTTTTCAAGTTAATTATTCGAAAATGTAAACAATCAAGAATAATAATATTATATATAATATTATCTATATTATTAATATATATAATAACAATTCAATATTATTATTCGAATATTATTTTTAAAAAATCTAATTCATCATGTGTTGATAGAATAAAAAAAGATGAAATATTTGATAAATTTGATAAATTTGAAGAATTATATAAATCATCTCAAACATTATGTAGTAAAAGATCTGTTAAACATGGTTATAATCAACGAGTTATTTCTATATCAGCTTATCAATCAAATAAAGATAATATTTATCTTGTTGATAAAATCTTGTTATATACACTTGAATTTATTGTTGAAGCAAAACATTATTATCCTGATTGGCGTGTTAGAGTTTATTATCATAATCTTAATATAACAAATGATCAAATAATAAATATTGAAAAACGTTTTGATAATGTTGATTTTTGTTATGTATATGATATTAAAATCTTATCAAATATAATTGAATATATGTCTGGAAGATTTCATCGTTTTATTCCATTAGGTGATCCTTATGTTGATATATATATGTCAAGAGATATTGATTCACCAATATATCAACGTGAACTTCTATCAGTAAATCAATGGTTATTATCTGATAAACTTTATCATATTATGCGTGATCATCCTCATCATAATGATGTTATTTTAGCTGGTCTTTGGGGATTTAAAATTTCAATAAATCGAACAATTACAAATAATATAATTAAATATTTATTTTCAAAATCTATTCTTAATTGTTATAATTCAATGAGAGGTGATCAAGATTTTCTTCGAGATTATGTTTGGCCAATAGCTGAAAAAGAATCAATACAACATGATAGTTTTCATTGTAAATTATATAAATTTTCAATACCTTTTCCAAAACCAAAATTATCTATTACACAATTTGTTGGTTGTCGTCGACCTTGTCGTTATAATCAAGATCCACCAGGACCATGTCCAATTAAATGTTTACCACATAATTATACTGATCAATATTTATGCTAATCTTCTTTTCTTTTTTTTTTTATATCAATCTCAATTATAATTATAATCAACATCGACAATAAAATGAATTTTTTTATTATTATGAAATACAATTAACATTTATTGGTTGACATCCATTTATTAATCTGACTCTCTCTCTCTCAATGATTGATCCTATTTTAGATCGATAGAATATCCATCAAGAGATTCATTTTGAGATCTTCTAACCATTTATTTGTTTTTTGTTGAATAGGAAGAATATATCTTCATTTATATTTTATTCAACATTTATTTTATATCTTATAGAACTGTTAGACAAAACAAGATAATATCAATTGAATATGTTCCTATCTATTCATTATTTCTTTTCTTTTCAACAATTAATATAATATCATATTGATCAAAATTTATTTATCATTTTCATCATATTATCACAAATCTTAAATTATTGTAAGATGAGTAAATAATACATGAATTATGGAATTTGTGTGGAATTCGATCAATAATGATATATTAAAGACTCACTTTAGAAGTGTTCGACTCTTCGAGATCTTATTAGATCTTACCTTTATATAAGAGCTCTTATAGCTCATTAACATTTCCTTTCTCATCAAATAAATTCTTCTCATTCTCAAATATTCGTTTGTCATTTTCAATATTTTCTTCTAAACTATATTTAGTAGTCAGCTGCACAGTCAAACGCAAAAGCTTAAAAAGGCGTGTAGCCTTTAGGAAATATTGAGAGAGTCGCCTTTATTTGAAAACTATTTTCTAAATGATCATATATTATCGATGAATATACAATCTATTTTAAATATTTCCAACTCATACGCTTAAATCGGAGATAATATCAGATGCATAAACGTCTATCTTGCAGACACATACATTCAAATACAAGTTTTTAATGAAAATATCCAATGATCGTGCACGAGTCTTATCCTTGTAAACAATTTCATCTAAGAGTGATATGTGTTTATGGAATAGATCTCACTGAAATGTAAATGTCAATGTGTTTGTAGGGTGCACTTCCAAGATGAGTGTAATATAATTAAATAGTCTATGACAATGTAAAAGGATGTTAGCGAAGAAAACTATAATAAAATCGATACTTGATCGAGATGTTTATTTTTGTAATTCTGTCTCTTGCATATTACTCTATCTAAGAATATTCTTTTTCTTACAGATGCCACTTTAAAACTTTTAACTTTAATTAAAGTGAAAATTTTAAAACTTTAAACTTTAATTAAAGTAAAAATTTTAACACTTTAACTTTAAAAAAAAAATTAAAGTTAAAGTGCTTGCGCTATACTATGGAGGTACCCTTAGGTCCTCCAGTCCTATTATAAGAGGGTACCCTTGGGTCCTCAAGTCCTACTACTGGGGGAGACTCTTAGGTCGTCAACTTCTTCTATAGTGGGACACCCTTGGCTCCTCAAGTCTTACAATACAGGGGTACATACCATCATCTAGGATGCTAGAGGGAAAACTGAGATGCTAAAGCTGATCGGGTGATAATCGACCAATCAGATGCGACGAAGCAGTTTCTTCGCTATGGTAAGGACAAAACATTGTCATGTTCGGGCCGATCTTAGAATTATCCAGGGTCCTCTTTTAGTTGACCCGAACATGAGAAGATTTTGTCCTTACAATAGCGAAGAAACAGTTTCCTCGATTTTGATTGGTCGGTTATCAACCAATCAGATTTTAGTGCGGTTTTTTTGCTCTATTATAAGGATAAAACATAGGGTTTTTCTGGCAGATCTTAGGGTTATTTGGGGCCCTCTTTTAATTGACTCGGACATAACAATGTTTTGTCCTTACCATAGCGAAGAAACCGCTTCGTCGCATCTGATTGGTCGATTATCACCCGATCAGCTTTAGCATCTCAGTTTTCCCTCTAGCATTCCGAGTGATGCCTCTAGCATCCTAGATGATGGTACGTACTCCTGTATTGTAGGACTTGAGGGCCCAAGGGTATCCTCTATAGTAGGACTTCAGGGTCTATGGGTACCCTGTAGGATGGTCCTTGTGGATCCATGGATGCCCTCATATAATAGCCCTTGAGGACCTATGGATACCTACATAGAATAGACCATGAGAAACTATGAGTGCCTCCATATAATAGCCCTTAAGAATCTATGAGTGCTATCATCTAATAGTCCTTAAGGGCCTATGGATACCTCCATAGAATAGATCATCAGAACCTATGAGTACTTCTATAGGCTAGTTCTTGAGGGTCTATGGTACCTCCAAAGAATAGCCCTTGAGAACCTATGAGTATCTTCATTTAATAGCCCTTGAGGACCTATGGGTATCCTAATATAGTAGTCCTTGGGCCCTCCGCTTATAGCCTTCTTTGACCTTTGACCCGGCACAGACACACACACACTGAACATAATATATATATATATGTGTTATCTTGAATGTGTCTCTATTAATGAAATCCATTGAATATATTTTATTGGATATTCGACATAAACTATTTATCATTAAATAGAATTGATAGAATTAAATGTTTAACGAATTAAATCTAACTCGATCTTAACTTATAAAAGAGAATTAGTTAAAAGATGAATTTATTTATGATAAAGTTAGGCTAAAAAAAGTTCCTCTGTATAAAGACATAGATAGAATAATTAAGAATAAATAATCGTTATTCACCAGAATGATTCTATTCTGCTGAGAGATGATTCTCTGACAAGTTCGAATCAAATGAAATATTTCAACGATCGAAATTTAATTAGAAGGTTGATATCGATCATCCTCTAGGGTCACCTATGACCTCTGGTAGAATGTAAAATCTTTGAGAATAATTCATTTATGACGATAAGTTCATACAGTGATAAACAAAAAGTGAAGTCAGAATATTGAAAATAAAAATTGTAAACCGTCTGATTGTATTAGTGACGTTCTATGGAATCGGTATTATTAATCGAGAATTTTTCAACTGTGTCATATGTTTGTCTTAGTGACTATTAAATAATGATTGTTATCGAAAGGCATAGAACTCGATAGTCACAGTTATTGTAAAGATGTTTATTATTTATATAGATCAATAGAAAGTTGTGTTATTTATTACATATGATCTTATTGTTTATCTTAGATATGAAAAATAAGTTCGTTCTAGAACTATTCTTCTTTTTATCAAACGATTCTATAATTCCACTGATTAGAAATCAATATTATTTTATGTTTGTCGATAATGACATCAAGACGATTCCATAGATTATTGATTATCCTATTATCCTATTAATAATAGATGAGTTGGTATATCTATGATCTATGTTGAATATTTAACCTGAAATGATAAATAAATATTGATTTTTGTTCTAATAGATGATTAGTGATGAATATTGTTTTGTTCTATGATATAATCAATTTTATTTTCTATATTAATTCCTCTTCATTAAACTGACGAAGATTAAAATAAACGAGAGAAAAAATAACGAGTTCGATCCAGTACTGATCAACATAAATAAAATCAAACGAGTTATGAAAATATTAAGAGAAATAAAATCTAACAATGATCATAATATAAGTACACAATTAAAGGTAAGATACTGAGAGGTGCAAACAATAATTATTTAATCAACGTTTTCAGAAGAGAATAGAGATATCGATTTTACTCAATCAGATGATTAAACAAACAAAAATAGATTTATATCATTAAAACAAATATTAAATAATTATATCTATACTAGACAAATATAAACAAATCGATACTAGACGAAGAGAAATAATCAAAGTAACTAGTTATATTCAAACTATATTACTGATTATGATGATCAGAGATCTTGAAAAATCAATTTCTATCTATAGAATAGTAAAATGATATAGATAAAAATAAGAAAATATTCTGATCAGACCTATAAACAATTGAGAAAGGAAATGGTTCGATATTTGAAATTTATTTCTATAGAAGAAAATTTAATATTTATTCCTATAGAAATGAAAATCAATCGAATAAATTATTCGAATATTTAAATAATAATATAATCAATATAATATATTATTTTTATTTTTTAAACGATATTTTATTTATACTAATAGTTAAAAAGATAATAGAATTTAATATCTAAGATTTTTTTCAGTTATAATCGATATAGAAGATGAAGGTTGAGATAGTAAAAATAAACTGAAAACTATTTCAACTATTTAACTTATTTAAAAATAAACATATTTATCTTTATAAACAACAATTTTCTTTTGTCAATTTTAAAAAATTCAAAAATAATATTTCAATAAGACTTAACTCAATATTAACGATTGAAATAAAGAAAAAAAAATCTTTTTTACCTTAATTATAAATGAGTATAAATTCTAATAATATATAGAAATAATATTTAAAGGAGACGATAGTTATCTCTATATACTAGAAATAAGATAAAATAATTCTAATAAAGTTAACAATTGAATTAACTTTTCAATGATTTTCAATATAATAAATAATATATTCAAGTTAAATTTTGTGATGATAATATATATCGATGAATAATGATTCGATATTCTCGAATAATCTCTATCAAGATAAAAACGGATTGAATCATATTGAATTATTTCGAATGATTATTTTATTTAATATTAACTCTCTTAGATTAGATAACATAAGAGGATAGGTTATTACAAATCAATTCTATTTTAGTTATTATCATTAAATTGGATTAACTATTCAACAAATCTTTATCATTTATTCATCTAGTCAACAAAGAATTCAACTCTATTATACTGATATTAACTAAAATAGAGAATGGAGATTTATCTTTATTCTTTATATAAAAAACAAAAGATCTTGACGAATAAAATCGAACGTTTTTCTAAAATATCCGAGTAGAATTTGATCAATAAAAAAATGTTAAAATAAATCTCGAATAAAAAGTATCCTATTAAATTAAATATAAGGGTTTTTATAGATAATTGTAGGGTGAAAAAAAAAGTAATCTATAGAAATTTTTGTTTTGGTTTAAATAAAGTAATGTTGTTGTCATGTTCTCTTAAAAGATTGTCAGATAAATCATCATTTTTTATTCTTTTCATTGAGATATAATGTAACTATAGTTTGTTATCTTTCTCTTTATTATATAGAAATAAAATAAAAAGGTATAGAAAATAAAAGATTAACAAATAAAAAAAATGGTCATTTATTCTTATAATAGATATTATCTTATAGAATAAATATATTCAATTTATTAATAATATTCTTCTTAAAACAATTTTAATAGGATAGAAATCATTATTTATTTATAAAATAAAACTAATTAATTGAATATGGTAGGTAAAAATGATAAAAATTTTGGAGTTATAGAAAGAATTCCTCCTGATGGAGGTTGGGGATGGATTATTGTTTTATCATCATTTATCATTCATTTTATAATCGACGGGTAAATTAAATAATATTGATATATATATTTGTTTATTTTAAAAAATCTCTAAATCCAGAATAACATATTCAATGGGTGATATTTACTTAGAATCAATGTTATCCAATCTTGAGTTTAGTCGTGCTTATGTATCAGCAATATTTGCCTTGTTAGAATCAATAACATTAACTTCAGGTAAGGATATATCTATATCACTTTTTTTATATATTATAATTCTAATTATCATTTTGTTTTAGCACCAATTTCAACAGTTTTTACAAATAGATTTGGATGTCGTAGAATGACGATAGTTGGTGCTATTATAGGATCATTAGGATTTTTTCTCAGTCGATGGTGGAGCAATGTTTATTATTATTATCTTACCATTGGTTTCATTGGAGGTATTTTTTTTCTTATGTTTTATCTAAAGTGATTATCGAATATGTTAAGGAATTGGTTGTGGACTTATTTATTTACCTGCAATTGTCTCTGTTGGATATTATTTTGAAGAAAAACGTTCATTTGCAATGGGTATTGCTGTATGTGGATCAGGTTTGGGTACAGTTACATTTCCATTTATTCTTCCTTGGTTAATAAATAGATTATTTTCGAATGATTATAAAAATGCTCTTTTATTTGAATCATTTCTTATATTAATATGTTTCTTTTTTGGTCTTCTTATGGTATTTAATTTAATTAAAGTTTAATTTAATTTAATTTAATTTAATTTAATTTCTATTAAGATTCCTCTACCAATAGAACCTAGTGAACAACGTCGTTTACGATTTAAATTACGATCAGAAGTTAACGAATCAATAGAAAATATAAACGACGAAAATAATCAACCAACTGAACAAGTTATTCAACATGAAAGGTCTGAAAGCGAATATTAATTTGTCGAATATTTATATAATTTGATATTTAACTGATTAGTTCGAAAATGAATTCAAAGATAATTTCGATTTTTGTTAAAAGTACCGTTTCAATAATAAAACTAATATAATCTTAAATATGATTTATGATTTATGTTTTATTTAAATATTAACCATTATCAAATAAATCATATTCATTTAGAATTTTCATATAAAATATTTGAAAATTTTTAATAAATTTATTTTAATATGATAGACAAAGTAGAAAAATTCCGATAAATTCTATCGTTATTCAAGAAGAATAAAACATATTTATTCCTTTTAAAAGTGAAAAGATAACGTTTAACTAGCGATTGTTGTTGAGTTTTTCTAATTTAATCGTTTAATCGATATAAATAAAGAATAATCTTGTCATTGTTTTAATGATTTATGTAGTTTTTAGGATGAAAACATTCTAAAATAATTTCTCGTTTATTATCGTTTGTTGTAGGATATCTATCGTTTCTTACTTCAAATATATATAAGATTATCAATATATATATACGTAGTTAACGATAAACTTATCTTAAATAGGAAATATATTATATTTAATATAGACTTTTTCAGAATAATATTAACAAAAATAAATGAGGAAAAATAAAAATAAATATAAATATAATAAAATCTATGAGTTAAAAAATGTCTATAAGATTTAATTGAATAATTTAATATATGATAAAAGTGAAATATCTCTTTGAAATGTTTCTATCTAATCTATAAACTTATTCAATATATTTCAATATTATTTTAGAATAGATTGTGATTGAATAATATTATTTATTTTATTTAATTATATCAATATAAGTTAATATTATCTTTTCCTTTATCTTCAATTTTGATAATTTATTTTAATAAATTTAATTCTCTCCACTAATTATTAAATAATTAGACTAAGAATAAAAAATAAGCAAAGTTGGATCGATTATCTCTTAGTTAATGTCTTAGAAATAATATAAATATTTCAATCCATCATTTTGGTTTTGTTGATTTTTTTATTATTTCATTTATTCGAATTTATTCATAATATGAGAGAATCGACAATTAATAATTATGTTCTTTGATAGATCGAACAAATATCTGATCATCCCATTTTAGTCTAAACTTATTTTATGATTAAATATCTCGATAAACTGATTCTATGGATATAAGAGTCTCTCTAGTAGAAATCAAATAATATCAAGATCGAAAATCTACGAACTCCTATCGACTAATTAACCTTTGTTATATAGTTAGTTTTTTAACTCTAAAATAGTTAAGACCTTCTATTCTATAATCTAAAAAAAAACGAAAAAATTCTAAATAATATCTCGAGTTTAATTCAACGATCATCTTGGTTAGTTTAAAGACACGAGTCAAATAAATAAAGTTTTATGTTAGTCACCATTAACAAACAATTTTTATTCGTTTACAAGAGAAATTTTTATTTAATAATTATTGATAATAAAACAAACTTTCGAAAGATAATTTGATTTTTCTTCTAGGAAACAAAGTAAAAGTAAAAAAGTGAGAATTGATCTTTGTTTTATTCAAAGTTAAGTTATCGTAGTTGTTGTGTTATATAATTGACCGACCGTTTCGTGTATGAATTGTCTAATAGATATTCGTTTAAGATAATTCCTATTCAATCAGTGATGATGAGTACTGATAAAGGCTCTCTGAATGATAAAATATCGAGTTGCTATTTGTAGAGACCAAGAAAACTAAACGAAAAAATATATAATTTGTTCTCATTATGATCGATTGAATGATAATAGTCTCGAATAAAAAACAATAATAGAAGTGAAAAAATATTCTCGTTAGATAAAATGATTATATTAAATAGGTAGCCATTTATGCATCGAACTCAAAAAAAAAAAAAGAAAATTTTTTTCATAAAATAAATAAATTTAAATCTAATAAGGAGAATATTTGAAGTTTATCTTGAAGATCTTTAAAAATTTCTCGATTAATTAAAAGTAAACTAAGAATTGAGAGTTTTTTATAAAATGATTAATAATAATACTGTTTTTAAAATAGTTTCATCATTCTATGAATATATTCAAAACAAAATTTTTGTTATACTTTGAATAATGTTATTCTACTATAGAACTGATCGAAATTTGATTTTTCCAACCTTTCAAAAGTTTTTATTCAAAATATAATCTTATGTATCCTAAGAAAAATTTGAAAAGTATATTCGAAAAGAGTATTCAATTATCATTCTAGAATAATATATTATCTCATAATACGATTAATTAATCAGAAAAAATAATAATAAAAATTGTTTTTTTTTTAAAAGAAAATTTCAACTCTAATGATTAATATAGTATGAATTATTGTTTATAGTACCGTTGATTTATTTAGTGTATCTTTTCTAACAACATCTCCTAACAATGTTATTAATCAAGAACAACATTTACCCAATGGTAGACGATATAGTACAATATCGTTTCGAAATATTCCTTATATCGGTATAAATGGTAAGATGATTAATAAAAAGGAACATTGTTGGGAATCTCTATCACAACTATCATCACCATATCGTCATTCAGTTGTAACAATTGAAAATAGTTCATTGTATCGGGGTAGTCTTAGACGTATATCATTACCGAATAAACTGAATGATGATTTTAAACCAAATAATCCAATAATTATATCAAAGAGAACAAATAATGATAATCAGTCAAATATAACCATCAATCAAAATGAGCAACTTCCAGATTCAATAATTGGTTCACTTATAGAGCAGATCAATCTAAATCTCCTTCGAAATCCTTCATTTACTCTTTTTACAATATCGAATTTTTTATCAAGTCTTGGATTTTTTGTTCCCTATAATTTTGCACATGATCTTGCAAAAGATTCACATGTTGAAGAAACTGATAGAAAGTTTGTTATTATGGCAATTGGTCTTTCAACTTGTTTTGGTCATGTTATTATTGGATATTTAGCCGATCTTAAATGGGTATGAACAATAGAAAGATTCAAAGAATTTTTTTTTTTAAAACCAAGTTTATATATTATTTCAATATTCTTAGGTTAATCGTTTGACATTGTACAGTTTAACATTGATAATAGCCGGTCTAGCGACAATCTTTGCTCCATATAGTGGTTCTCATATTCTTCCTCATCTTGTTTATGGATCATTTTTCGGTTTCTTCTCTGGTGGTTATGTTGGATTAACATCAATAATTACTGTTGATCTTGTCGGTATAGATAAATTATCGAATGGAATGGGTATTATTCTACTATTTCAAGGTATTGCTACTGGTATAGGTACTCCAGCTGCTGGTAAGGAACTATATTTAATATCAATTAAATTCGAACTGATTTCATAATTGTCTAGGCGCAATGCGCGATGCATTTGAAAAACATGCTCGACCATTTCTTTGGCCATATTTGATGTTTGGTGGTTTTGTAGTATTAAGTGGTGCCATCCTATTTGCAATTCCAATATTAATACGAAGAGATGAAAATCGAGAAAAATTACACAAAATTCCATTGGATATCAATCTTATTTCTCATTTAAATACAAATTCATCTTCAGATCCATAACAGCAACAAGTTTAATTCCTTGTAATCTTTAAATAAAACTTTGAACGATATTAATGTACTAGATTTTCAAACTTTCTTATTCAGTTATTTAAAAGAAATATTTTCTTTTCAATTATATACTTCCTTCAATCAAAATTCAACTGACATATCGTTTATTCTACTCATTAAATCCACTAATCATATATCAATACTCTACTTCTCATCTCATAATCATCTATTAAATTAGTCACGCGGTCCCTTTTACTCTTGTTTCACATGTCGACGCACGTTGAAACTTGAATATTTGTATAATAGAGATGGAACCAATATATTATAGTCTAGCGATAAGATTTATCATTATAATGGCGATAGCATTGATATTTAGCTAATTATATTGATCTTGTCTTATTCTGAAGAGTAGTTTTGTGTCTTTAGGAACAATGCAGAATCCATTTTGTTTTTTGTGTACTCAAAAAGTTCGTACACTCTACAATCGGTCAGTGTGTCCGGCCGTCCGTCCGTTTACACGATAACTCTTCACAATTACATTCGATTGAGCTGCAATTTTGTGCACAGAATTGTCTCATCAATATCTCGGTCGAGTTTGAAAATGAGAAGGATCCGTCAAGAAATGGCTGAGTTATCGAAAAAATTGTCATTATTGACCAGACCATCCCTGATGGGGGGTACAGGGATTTTTTGTGTACTCAGAAAGTTCATAGACTATAGAATCGGTCAGTGTGTCCGGCCGGCCGGCCGTTTACACGATAACTTTTGAAAGGAGAGTCCGATTGCGATGAAATTTTCTACACAGCTTAGTCTCAACAATATCTCGGTGGAGAGAAGAAGATGAGAAGGATTGGTCGAGCCATTGCTGAGTTATTGGAAAAATAGTCATTTTTCCCTATGCTTCCCTATGCGAAGATCGACCTATCTCCACTTTCGTAAAAAACTTTTCCTATTATAGTCAAATAAAACCCCAACTATTATATACCATTCGGTAGAGAATTTCACGAGCTACAAAATCGTATATAAAATATAAAGAAACAAGAAGATTAACTCACCTATTGCAAGGGTAATAAAACGGAAATTGGTTCTGTTTGTGTCCACACTCTAATTGAACCACAATTCGAGCTCTGTCTTTCGATCACAGCGATGATAGTTCGAGGTTTTTTGGGTAGGAGAACTCCAATCTATGCTCCGTCTGCCTCGAAATCCCATTGGTTGAACAGTAACTAATAGAAATGAAGTTATAGGAAAAACGACTTTGTTAGGGTAAATCAAGGCGAAGAGTTCAAATCTGGGTTGTATTCACCCACAAATCCTATTGGTTGAGCAGTAACCAATAGAAATCAAGTGTTTATAGAAAAAGGTTTGCCAGGATAATTTTTATGCCCCCACATTCTAGGATAACTCATCTGTCTCATTCACTTTTCTTCAGTACACATAACTCTCGGATTTAAATCCGAGGTTTCCACATTTAGTTTTTATTTATTCCACTTAATTTGACTCTCTCATTGATCAAGGATTATTAAGTTCAGATTGATGTTTATTACTCATAGGTCAACAGATATTGATGCCGTATATTGACATTTATATATAAAATATATTTTCAGCTACGGTTTTTAAACGAATTTTTCATAAATCATATTTATTATTATCAAAATATTTTGCTTCTATTGAAGAATTTATCGAGCAAATCTTATTTATTTATTCATTATCTTTAGAAATAATATATTCGAACTATTTAACAAGAAAAAAAAACACAAGAAAATAACGAAATTTGAAATAAATAATATAATAAATAAATGTGATAAACCTCGGATTTAAATCCGAGAGTTATGTGTACTGAAGAAAAGTGAATCAGACAGATGAGTCGTTCTAGAATGTGGGAATATAAAAATTATCCTGGCAAACCTTATCTACAAACACTTGATTTCTATTGGCTACTGCTCAACCAATAGGATTTGTGGGTGAATACAGAGAAGATTTCAACTCTTCACCTTGATTTACCCTAACAAAGTCGTTTTTCCTATAACTTCATTTCTATTAGTTACTGTTCAACCAATGGAATTTCGAGGCGAATGGAGCACAGATTCGAGTTCTCCACCCCAGAAAAGCTCGAACTATCATCGCTGTGATCGGAAGAACGAGCTCTATTTGTGGATTAATTAGAGCGTGGACAAAAAGAGGACCGAATTCCGTTTAATTATCTTTGCAATAGCTGAGTTGGCCTTCTTGTTTCCTTATATTTTATATACCATTTTGTAGCTCGTGAAATTTTCTATCGAATGGTATATAATAGTTGGGGTTTTATTTGACTATGATAGAAAAAGTTTTTTACGAAAGCGAAGATAGGTCGATCTTCGCATAGGGAAGCATAGGGAAAAATGACTATTTTTCCAATAACTCAGCTATGGCTCGGTCAATCCTTCTCATATTCTTCTCTCGACCGAGATATTTTTGAGACTAAACTGTGTAGAAAATTTCATCGTGATCGGACTCTCCTTTCAAAGGTTATCGTGTAAACGGCCGGCCGGCCGGACACACTGACCGATTCTATAGTCTATGAACTTTTTGAGTACACAAAAAGAATATATAAAGTCTTCGATTAAATTGTCATAGATTCTTATTCAACTAGATTGTACAGAAAATTGTACGATAATATGATAATTGAAAAAATAATTATATTTCCTATTGATTGGAAGATTAGATTGAGTAAAAAGTAGATTGTGATAATAAGTGACTACATCTCTCATAATACTGATTTCCTTTATCTGGGTCAAAGTATGATTGGCGATTTTATTGGAAAGAATTTTCTGTTCGTAAGGAAAATAAATAAAGATGATTTGTTTAAAAAGAAAAATTTGACTAACATTGTATAATTTGTTTTTCAGTAACGATGAATGGAGTCAATTTAAGAATATTTTCAATATTTTAAATCTAGTCCTTCATAAAGATTACTTCAGAGTTGAAGGATGTTGGATGTACACGAGCCATGCTCATCGTAATCATCCATACGATCAATTCAGTGCATCAATTAAACCTATCCTTATATTATCTATAACAACATCAGACATATCAATTTTCATCGAATGATAATCATACAGTCAATCCATACAAATGTTAACAATCACAAATTAATACTTTTTACATTAATTTAGACACCGTTGAACGTCTTTATAATAATGTTCTGGAAGTTTGTTGAAAAAACTTAAATAAAATAGGTTTAAATAGAACTAAAAAAGTATCTAAAACAAGTTATTTCTTAGGTTATATAAAGCATATAGATTTCTTTGACTAGTTCAATGTTTGTCTCTATCAGACAGTAATCTACCAGTGTACATCAAATTCAATGTATTATATCAGGTTTAACGTATATGACTAAGGATGAATTTGAATAATCAGTTGAAAAAGTGTCGATATCGAATGATTTCTATGTTGGTAGTTTGATAATTACGAATAATAATGAGAATTTTCATTTAGCTAAAACAAAGTTGATCGACCATTTAAGATAATAACTAGAATGAGAATATATTGACCCATCGTTTCCAACCAATAAATTTTATGTATTTGAATAAAAGAACATAAACATTTCTAGTATAAATATTGACAATATTATTCTTTGGTGTCATAATCGTAGAGTTGCCCGACGAGATGAACTTTATGAAAATCCTCAATAATTTAAAGGACATTAAAAATATTTGTGAGGAATTTTCGGCTACTTCTACTAATACGATTTATTTATTTATATTTAAAAAAATATCTTAAATAAAGATAGAGATATATTATTCTACTTGCTGTTCAAAATATTTTCTATCATACAGTAGATCTATTAATACTTTATTAAACTATAATCTTTCGAATATATCAATCGAGATGTTAAAAACTCTTCTCCAAATTTGAATTATCTTTTTTATTTATTAAATTTTACTATCTATGATTCATGTCAAATCAGCAGACTTATAAACGACCGCAAAATTGTCGTATTTTGGCATATTACATAGCACTGCATCACGATTCCTTATTTTGTGATACACAATATGGAAAAATATGATTGTAACACGGTGAAATACGTAATGTATATGAATTTGTTCTAGTTCATCGTGGACATACGTATAAAAAGGTTAGAGAAAAAAATATAGATTTATATATAAATATGATTAATTTATTGAAAAATAAGTAGAATTTGTATGATAATCTAGAAAAATAAATTTAATGAAATGACTAAAAATAGGACTAATCAGAAAAAAAATGTTTACCTTTATTTATAATTAAACGAAATAATTAAAGAATATTTTTTAATTGAGAATAAAATTTAAGATGAAACTTATTTTATTTTATTAGTTTTTTTAATGAAAAAAAAGCAAACAGAAAATCTTTGATTAATTTATCTTATTCAAAGTTGAATAAAAGTTTATGAAAAACCTTTATGTTTTTGTATTTTGATTAAATCTCGTAAAATAATTCGTCATTTGTTTGACGATTTTAAGATTAGATAAAAAAACTCTTCCGTTTTTTTTTTCCATTGATTATTTGATGAGTCTCATAACTATGAAAAAAATGTTGAAGATAAGACAATTATCAAATAAATAAACAATGGTTATTAAATGATCGATATGTCTTTATCAATAATATAAATAAAAATATTTTTTTATCTTTTTATAATAATCAATTGATAAATAATATTATTCTTATCAATAGAGTAATGTCATCTATTTATATATATGTTCGATTAAGAATAAAAATAAGAGGAGATATTTAATGGTGGAAAATCAACCAATTGTGTCTCTTTTTCTTTATTTAAAGAAAGAAACAAATAACAAAATTCTAGATCTGATTAGAATAAATTTCTATATATATGTAACAATAAATATTCTTTTTTCAATAGAACAAAAACCGAATGGCATCATGTCCAAAAGAATTAGAACGAAATGGTCCAACAATTGGAATGTCATTTACAGATGAACAAGCTGGAAAACTTTTTTATCGTTATTTAAATAAAAAACTAAATTGGTTTGAATCTGGTGAAAGTGGTTTAAATAATCTTCTTTTCTTTGTTGAATGTGAAAATGATGAAAATAAATATGTTCTCAAAATTTGTGGACGATCTTGTCCAAAAGTGAAAACGGAAAGTGAAGTTGCTGCTATAAATATTGTTCATAAATATACAAAAATTCCTCTTCCAAAAGTAATTGCTTATTCATCAGATAATAATAATGAATTTGGAGTTGAATGGATTGTTATGACACGTTCTCGCGGAAAACCATTAAGAAGTTCATCAAAAACAAATGATATTTGGCCAGATTTATCAATTGATCAACAAAAATTAATAATAAATCAACTTGTTCAATATGTATCTCAATTTTATAATAATATTCCACGTTCAAATATAATTGGAAATTATAAATTAAATGGTGAAATTGGTTCTGATAGTGTTAAAATGGGTCCATGGAATAATTATAAAGATTTTTATAATGATCGTTTAAAATGTCAAATATCAATATTAATTAATCAATCAATATTTGAACCAGTTCGTGATGATATTATGGAATCAATAAAACAATTTAAAAGAATTAATCTTCCATCATTTGATTATATACGAAATGTATTTACACATAATGATCTTGGTGTTCAAAATTTAATTGTTGATGATGATTATAAAATAACAGGTATTGTAGATTGGGAATGGGCTGGATCATATCCAATATCTGAAGAATATTTTCGTTCATATAAACCAATTATTTATAATGATCAATTAAAAAATTATCTTTATGATCAACTTGAAAAACATAATATTCCAACTCCAAAAACAATTGAAAATTTTTCACTTTTACAAAAAATGTCGGATTTTCTCCAATCTATTGCTCCTTGGTATCTTACTGATTTATCTAATCCTGAACATCCAACTGTTGAAAAAGAATTATTTAAAGCCAGAGATAAAGTCAGAACACTTGTTCAACAAATTAGACAAGAATTAAAATAAATTTTTCCTTACCTTTTTTTTTGTTTTGGTTTTCAACTTTATCAATAAATAAGCGAGAAAATCCTTCTTTCATTTAACAAAATTCTTTTCAAACTGAATTAGGTTTGATTTAGTAATATGTTTTTATTTTTCTAGACAATGAAGATGTATCTTATTGTTATATGATAAAAAGAAAATAAAACATAGAGAATGATCGATTAATGGAAATTTATTATGTTTGAATAAAAAGGAGAAATAAAATTCTTTTATCATTGGATATTTTTTTTTTATTTTTCATTCGAACTATTTTCAATTTTTATTATTATTTGTCTTATTGAAATATTTTAATTGATTTATCTTAATTATCAATTTTCGAATAAGATTAAATAGAAAAAGATTATTTTACTTTTTTTCAGTTAAATTTTTATTTAAAAAAAGTCAAATATCTATCATAAATAAGAAGAAAAAAATAATAAGAAGAAACAAAAGTTTTTTTTATTTTATTTTAATAATCAATTATATTTATCTAATTCGAAATATTTTCATTGATTATTATTCAAAGAATTCAATAATAGATATAGAGTTATATCGATCATTCGATTTTTTGTTTATTTTGTTGCTATTTGGTGAAATAGTTATTTTATTCTAACCTTTGAATTAACTCTAAAATAAGCCTCTTCAATTATTTTATTATATATAGAAGATGACGATCCTTTATTGATAAGATAATAAATAATGATATAGTATCGAAAATAAATCCATCACAACTGATAATTGTTGTCATCTTCAAGAGAAATTTTTATATCTTGAAAAGTAAAAAGGTCCACAATTTCGAGTATTGATAAACGGATGTCATTGATTCAATATTCGAGGAAAGGTTTAGAATATTCTATAACAATCTCAATATCTTCCTAACCTCTCCAATGAGAAGAGAAAGTAACAAAAGTTCAACTGTTAAATTTGAGTGATTAGTTTATTAGAAAATGAGGTCAATTTCAGAGAAACGGGATACTTTTTTTTTCAATCATATATAACAATTCCTATTTGTTTTACTAGATTTAATAAATATAAACAGGTTGAGAAAATAATATAGAAAACAATAAAAAATCTAAATGAGATGAAAATGGTAAACTATTATTTATTTATTTATTCATCAATCTATAATCAATGTATTGTTTACTTGTTTAAGATTTAATCGAATAGAATCTTGATTTTTTCATTATATCCAAGACGATCAATCGAAAGAAAAACGAGATCAATTATAAAATGTGATACTATCGCATTAATTTCTAATCATTGGTCAATATCGGATTAAATAATGATTGAATATGAGATAATTAATAAAAAGTATTTAATTATATAATTATATTATAAATCTCTATCTATATTTATATAATCAATCGATTTTAATTATTCATCTAATAAAACTCTTTTATAATAGATTTATTTTAAAATTTATAAAATGATTTATAAAATAGTATGACAATCGAATAATCAAGATAATTAATATTATTATTTGAGATATTTAAAATAAAAAAAATCATTATTCTATATTTATATTTATTATCATTCGAACTAAATCAGAATGAAATATTTTTCGATTTATTTATTCGTTTTTTATATTGATTATATTCGATATAGGATACGATATTCAATTATATTTTATTTTATTCTTTTACCTTTTATTATCTTTAATTTGAATTTGACAAATTTAGAAATAAATTATATTAGAATTGAATTATCAAGATTCTATATATAGAATTAAATAATCGAAATCGAGAATGATCTAATCAAATTTCGAACATTTTTTTAGAAATATTCGTAAAAAAAGCGACTAAAATAGTAATAGATAAAATAAATAAAATAATAATATTGATAAATCTAATATGAATATTGGTATTGTTTCGATCGATTGTTAAATAATAAATAATTTTTGACTAGATAGAAATTCATCTATAAAAAGCATTCTTATTATAGAGATAAGACAAAAACCACCGATCGAATCAATTTTATGAATTGTTCTGCCAAATGGGATCAGTTTTTTTTCAATATTTTATCTTTGAAGAAGAAAAAAAAACACGAGATTTTATCAATGAAATTCTCTAATTGAATTGTTTAATAAATATCTTTCTATAAGAGGAGATTTTATAAAAATAGTGACGTTTTATATAAGGAAGAATTTCATAGATAAATAATCATTTTCTTATTTGTTTATTTTAAGAAAGTTCAATTTACCATTAATAAATAAACAAAACAAATAAAAAAGATTTAATAAATTTCGTTAATTAGTTTGAAATGATAAGATAAACGATTTATTGATACTCTTTAATAGATAATATATAATTAACTCTTTCCTTATATCTCCTATATCGACCATTTTATATATTAATTTTATTCAATTCTTCAATTAGAATTCAATATAATATCAATAAATAATCACATAAATAGGAGAACTTTTTCTTTTTTAATTCTTCGAAGTCTCTCTCTCTCTCTCTCTCGTTTTTCTATTTTATTATTTGAATATTTTCAAAAATAAAATATTTTAATCGTTGACATATCAGTTGAATTTTGTTTAGGAAATCGATCATTTAAAATGATTCGATAATGATTTTATATTATATTGTGTTGATCTATAATTGTTTGATAAAATAAGAAAAAAAAAGAGGAAAAATTGTTATATATTAATGATAAATTTGTAATTATATAATTTAAGATCTATAATATATTCCTTGATTTGTATCAAAAGTAAGAGTCATATTTGTTAGTACAGAATTGGCTTGATCATATGAATACATAATGAATGGACCATTATTTGAAGCTTTTTAAAAGAGAAAGAATAAATATTTAAATTGAGATGAATAAAAATCTAATTACCTTGAACACCAATAGTACATGTATCACCTTGATCAGTGGCATCAAAATATTTAAATTGAACAACACCTGGATTATTTTCAAAAAAAGAAAGTTGAAAATGATAATATTGATTTATTTCAATATAATGACTCATATAATATTCAAATATTAATTTTCTATTTGGAGAATTTCCTTCTGATTGATAATAAATACCTTGAGATGTATTTGGATAAATATATAAATCATCCCAATATGGAAGAACTGTTGCACCAGGAAAAACATTTGCAGGTAAACTGCTTTCCGTATAACTTGTTGAACAACCTCCCAGACAAAGGACCTTTTTTTTTTATAGATATTAGTTTTTATTTTTATTTATTTAAATATAAATATTTTAACTTTAACTTGTTTTAAGATAAATATTAATAATTTCTAATCAAGGTTTAATAAATAAATTTATCTCAAGATTTGTTTTATAGGATAATATTTGAAAATTTCAATAAATATATAAGATTTATTTTTAAAGAATTTATTTCAACAGCTTTTTTTTTGATTTCTCAAAAGATAAAATTTGACTCGATTTTCTCCTTTACTTTTCTAATCATTATTCAATATTTTAAATAAAAACAAAATCTATTCGCAAGAATTTTTTTTTTGTTTTTTAAATTTAAAACAATTTTCATTTAGTTTAAGATGAACAAACAATTGATTATAATTATCTCTTCAACTATTATTATTTATCTTTATATAAGATTTTGTTTTTCGAACGAAAATAAATCTATTAGATAATTAACAAATATAAAGAAAATAAGCTCGAAGAATCTTATCAATCTAATCAATCTAATCAGAGACGATCATCTAGTTTATCGTCTAAACAATTCATTTTTATTTATTATCATTAGAAATATGTTAACATTTTTCCTATGATTATTATTATCAGATTTTAATAAATTCTATTTAAATAAGATAAATATAAATGATCAATTAGATATTTTCATCTTATTAAACGATATTTTTTCATTTAAAAATGTTTGACTTTTTTATAAAATAATAAATAATTAAATATTTGTAAAATAAAACTCGACTTACACCATCTGAAGTAACAATGACATTATTTGTTGTTGTATTATATAGAGTTATATACCATGGAAGAGTAACATTATACATTTGATCATCGGCTGATCCATTTATAGCCGATGACCAAATTGTTATTGGTTTATCTAATTGTATACCAGGTACATTACTACATACACCAGCTGAACAACTCAAATTATTTGGACAGACATTACCAACTGATCCACAATTATTTGAATCAATTAATATATTGACACATCTACCCATTGGAGTTTCAACATTTGGATATATACAATTAACTATATTAAATAATACATTAAAATTAGACTTTTTTTTAAAATCTATTTAACGATAATTAATTGAAATAAATATAGAAGAGAGATTTACACTCGAATAACTTGTTAACTATTATGAAATATTGAGAAAACTCTTTTGATATATGTTTAATTAATAATTTATCTATGTTACACTAGAATTTGAAATTCTAATAGAATATATAGAAAAAAAAAAAGCTCAGAGAAAATCTATTCAATTATTGAGATAGTGATTTTGATTTTTTGAAAAAACCATTATGAAATTGATTGTTATAGAAATGTTTATCTCTTGGAATAAAATAAGAATAGAAAGATTTTAAAAATCAATTCTTTTTTTTGAAGATTTTTGAAAAAGAAAAAAAACCAGTTAATATTATTATTTATTTAGTTTAACTAGAAATATTTCAAATAAATTATTCAAGAAAACGTTAAGATATTTGTTGAAAAAAAAAACAAATTCAATATTCGAATATTTTTAAAATTTTTGATGAAAATAATTAATTCAATGAAATATTTTGAATAAATGAGAGAAGAATTTATAAATTTCGAATGATTCTTTTCAAATGAAAATAATTTATTAATTAATATAATAAAAAAGAGAGAATAATATTCTTGAAAACTTATTTTAGATATAAATTAAAAAATCTTAACGTTTTTTATTTTACTATCGAAAGAGTATAAACTACCTATGAATAGTTTTTTTCGATAAAATCGTTTTATATTATTTTATTTTAATTAGAAATAATTCAAATAAAATCAATAGAATTATATTTAATTTAATTCTCTTTAGAAAACATTGAAATAAATTGTTTAAATATATTTCAATTTCTATCTATTCTTCCTATATTACCTTTCAAGTCAACGTTTTTTTTTCGATTTCGATTCTAAAAAAGTCGAAAAATATTATTTCAGTGATCTTCATAGTCAGTATCAATAATCGATAAGATAATATTAGATTTCGATTCTTATTCACTAATAATAAATCTGATAAAGGATAAAATAAATTCTTTTTATTATATTATCGAAAGGTTAATTTTTCGATCTGCATTACTTTATAATAAAAGATCATTTTTCTTAGACGATGGTCACAAACTTATCCTCGAAAAAATGACACGTCTATCATCTCTCGACAAGTATAATCAGTCAATTTCATCAATTAAAACTCAAATCGAAATATCGTTTTCTCCAGTTTTTCTCTTAGGGAATAAAGAATAAAATCTTTTTCAGGTCTTTATTAATATTGATGTAAGTTGTATAAAAAAAAAATCTCGTTGAGAGTTATAATATGTCTCAATATAGAAAGAATGATTTCGTCTATTCCTCTCTATAATGAAAGAAAACGATTTTTTTCAGTTCTGCCTTTTCTAAAGGTATGTTTGGCCTTTTCTAAAGGTATGTTTGGCCTTTTCGATAGATCCTCTTTGTTCGAATTACTCTAGAGAATAATATTTATCGAAAATTATTCTTCAAAACAATTTATTCTCTTCATGTCACTATTTTGTTTTTTTATGCGAGTTATCCTTAGGGATAAAATCTCTTTTTGGTGCGATAATAAACGTTTTTTTGTCATAGTTCATAATGATAATGTCGTTTTGATGGGTTTATTTTGTTAAAACTTCTATATCAATCTGTAAAGTAATCTATCATTTGTTGATTAGTTAACATATTAAACAAAACCTTTTTGGTAAACATAGAGGAAAAATGCTTTACTTTTTTAATGTTAGAACTCTGATAGTGACTACTAATTAAATTCTCAATCATCATTTTGACTCTGTTTAACTGAAACGTTACCGTTGTCCAAGTCCAATGCAGAAGTCAACTTTTAAGATAAACAATCGATATGATTTAAGATATTTATTCGATATTAAGAATTTAAAAAAAATCTCTTTATTAATATTTGATCTTATTTAATTGTTATCTATTTGAATTGTCGAGATTTGTTTTATTTGTATGTTATTATAATTGATGATGGAATATAAAATGAAATAAATAAATTCTCGAAAATAATTATCTTATATTAATTCGAAAAAAACTAATAGATATTATTTGTCAATATAAACATAATAGAATTATTCTCGAAAATTTTTATAAAAAAAAAAAAAATGAATGAAATAAAATCTTACTGATTGTTGTTGAGATCGTTGTTGATATATTTGAAGAATCTAAATAAAACGTTAACATATATTTAACGATCGAAAAAGATTTATCTTTATATTTAAATAATAAATCGAATTTAATTGAAATTAAGAATTTTATTTTATAATTTAACTATTTATTGAAATTTGAATTTATAAAATTTATCTATAATAATCAAATATTGACAAACCAAAGAGAATATATTTATCATTCTTTTTTCTTTTATAATAATTTTAAAAAAAAAACTAATGAAAAACTAACTTGTTATTATAACTGGTATAATTGGTGATTTAGGTTTAATAAGTAATATTGGAAGAAGAATTGAACATAATAATAATAATAATAATAAAGCTGTTAGAAGGAAGAATAAACAAAATTTAGCACGTCTAATTAATAATTAATATTAATTTAATTTAACAAAAAAAAATTTAAACAATGTATATAAAACCTCGATTTTTGTTTATATTGTTGAATATGATCAGCTGTTATATCAATTATTCTAGGTATATATTGATCTTGACCAAATGGAGATTTCATTTTAAGCCAAATTGATTGATTATTGTTTGACAATTTGGGTATATTCATTTTTTTATCTTTAATTAATTTAAATAAATAAATCATTTTCTTATTTAATATAAATTCAATTTTTTTTCTTTCATTTAACTTAACACTTTTTTTTATAAAAAACAAAATAAGTCAAAGAAATGAAATTAATTTTGTTCTATGAATATTTATCTTGTTATAAAACAAGAAGAAAAATATTCGTAAATGAATATTTTTCATTTATTTGAAAGTTTTTAAATAATAAATAATTTATGATTAATCAAAAATAAAAAGTATTAAATTGAATTTCTTAATCAATGATAAATATAATAATAGATATTAATTAAAGAGAATTTTATTTCGAAAATAAAAATAAAAATAAAAGAAATTTTTCAATAAAATCTAATTGATTTAATTCTTATTTAAATAATCTAATCACTATTTATTATCTATTTTTAAAATAATTTTAAATCGATTTTAATTAACCTAATAGAATAAGTTGAAAATAGATAAATATTATATTTTATATAAAAAAAGAAAGAAACTTTTCGTTTTTTTCATTACCTTTGTTTAGCCAACGAAAATAAGAATTGAATTGTTTTTATCAATATGTTGCCACTTTTTCATTTAAATAAATTATTCATTTATTCTATATTATCAATTCACATAAGAAAACTTTATCAAATAAGAATCTACCATCAATATATATATAGAATTATGAATAAAACATTTAAAATCGTTTGACTATTAACATATATTTTATAAAAAAAACAAAAAACAAATAAATTTTCGGAATTGTCAAGTAGTGAAGAGACTTCTATGAATTAATGTCGATCGAACTTGTCAATGTGTTCTCTGGAAAAGTCGTCGATGAAAACTAATCCGAGGTTCTACCCGTAATCGTTATCCGTTCTAATGATATATTTAGTCTTATATATTTGAAGATAAAAATCAATCTAGGACTATTTTAGAATCGTTTAGATATAAAAAAAAAAATCTCTAAAATGTCGACTAGTCATCAATGAAGATTTTTAATAGAAAGAGTAGATAGATCGAGTCAATATGATGCCTATTTGAAAATAATTTAGTTAAGATTTCGAAAAAGAATATCTATGAAAATAAATCTAAATAATTATTTTAATTGAATAGAAGTTTAGTTTTTTTTTAGTTTGATTATTTGATTTTATTTAAAATAAAATAAAATAATTATAGAATAAATATTGTAATTATTTTTTATTTATTTAATAGATATTATCAATTTTTATATTTCAACCTCGCTATTTTTTCGAGTAGATCAATAGAATACTTTATATATAATTCTAATTTTTCATAGTTCGAGCCATTTATTGATATTAAGATTGAAAATTCTTTAAATGTTTGCTTGTTGAACAAGTCTAGACCAATGTTTAGAGAGAAGAAAGGTTCGAGAAATTCTCTTTCTCTCTCAAATTTAAACTACACACGCACAACATCAACGGACCATTGGGTCGATAATTCCATGCTCGTTGTTCGATTTGAGTCACTGGTCGATTTTTTTTTGAATAATAGAGAATTTCTTTTTTCAGATGAATACCTCTCAATTATGCAGATAAGACATCAATGCTAGAAATACGACTTGAAAAGTGTTCTTTGTTAAAAAAAGAAACATGGATAATCCGAAGGTAAACTTCGTCAATGATTGACGAGAATTGAGAACTATTCAACGAGTTTCAACAATAAGTCGAATAGTTCGAAGTTGAACCATTGAATTTATTTGAGATCACAGTAATACAAAGTTGACTGAAGGTATTAAATAGTTATTCGCCATGTTACAAATATACTATCGATCATGCTTGTGCAGGCAACTTCCCCTTATTCACCAAACTGATGATCTCATTTTCGACCGATTTCTAATTTCTCTCATTGTTTTCATTGAACTCTATGAAAATGTGTCGATTTGAAGAGAATATCTTTGTCGAGACGTATGAAAAGAAAACAAGCAGTGTTAAATGTCAATGTGTACAAAAGCCTAATCTCTATTTTTTATTTTTGTCTCATATCTATCATCGTAGTCTGATAGAATGCGTACGCAAAATAGATAATCATCTCTTATCAGTCAATAGAACGATATGTTGGGAATGAAATGAGCGTGCTGTCATCAAATTATTGTAGGCCTGTGTATTTATCAAGAGGAAAAAGGAATGCGTAAAATAATAAATGAGTACTATCGTTCGTTGTCTGGGTCAGTCATAAGACTTGACTTAGGCGATGTGTTACTTTTTATTTTCAATATTGAACATGTCATATCTGAACCTAATCATTTTCAAAATATCTCTCGTGTTCATTACAGATACGACGTACGAGAACATGTTTTATAAATTTCTCTTTTCAATAGAAAATCAACTTGATTTTGCTGTCTTTCACTTTTACAGAGATATTAAGGTCAAAATCGACAACAAAAAAATAATTCTAGAATAGATTTGTTCTTTATTGAGATATTTAGGCATAAATTTTACAATCATTTTTAACAGATAATATTAACAAGATTTATAGTAGAGATGTTTAAGTCATTGGAAACTATTGACTTTTCGACTGTTATTGTTGTTGATAAAAAGAAATTTTCCTAATATGTTTGTTTAGAGATAACAAATGTCATATAATGATCAAAGAAAGAAAGGGGAAAAAAGAAAAGAGGATAATTGTTGCAACAAGATAGTATTCTCGTCTTTTTCTACATTCATGATTAAATAATGATAATATCAAGGTACAGATTATAGTGACCTTATCAACTATCTATATAAAAAAGAGAAATTCTCATTATTTGTTTGACGAATTATTTTTGAATATTTATCGAATATTAATACTAATCTATCAGAACAATGATTCCTTTCTTGTCATATTACATTTTACCTACTCAAGCCATCGTGAGAAAAAATCTTCATATTGGTAATGTGTGTATTTTTCTCTTTGATTATTTATGTTTATTGAATTTTTGCATCAATATCGTTTCATTTTTCAGGTAAAAGAAGATATTGAGACTTTACTTTTGGCATTGAGCCCAATTTTATATATTTTCCATCAAGATATACCCAAACCTCATATACTTCATCCTAATATAATTCAAAATTTGGCTATAAAGGTTTCATTGAATAATTTCTAAAATCATTTCAAATATTGTTATTTTTCAGCCTGAAACTTTAAAATTACTACCACTGCTTGGCTGGTCACCCAATAGTGTCGGAGAATATTGTTATTGCGATACAGAATCATTACATGAAATCGCACATCGACAAGAGGCAGCACGCGAATTCCGAAAATTTTACAATGAACTTGCGACAGTCAAAAATAGGCAGCCGAATCAACTCGAACATTTTCTTAGTGTAAGTTGTCTAAACTTAGATTAGCTATTCGATTGATATAACTATTATTTGTTCAATCAGTCAATGGTATAAGAAAACTATTCATTGCTCGAATTGTCAAAGAATGAACACAGCATCTATTTTTTATAAACAAGAGCATCAGAACCGACTTACGATTAGGAGCGTAACAATATGTCAGAGGCTGAATTCGAATTGAATTTAATCGAATATAGTCTCTTCTATTCAATTCAATATCAGACTTCTTATTGCCTCATAAACATATTTAAAACAATTTACTTCGCTGTAACATTCAGATTCTCTGATATTTTCTTTGTAGAAACGTGTTATTAATCTAGTTCTACAAGAAGTGTACTAGTCAGATTGATAGATATATTTTCGCATAAAGTGTTATGTTTCATTTATTTATTTTGATGATAGAATCTCATCAGGTGATATATCACTTTTCAGATGAGTTTTACCTCGTTAGGTAAGGACTATTAAGACTAGAAAAAGCCTTAATCGTAGTCTTGCTCAGGTTGCCTTCTCCAGATCGACTTTCGGGTTCAAACTTTGCATAAATAAACTCTTGAAACGAAATCTTGAAAAGAATATGTCGAAAACGGAAACGTAAAAATTTGATCTGGTAGATTATCAATTTTTTATTATTTCGAGATTGTTGAAGGATAACTGACGTCAGTGCATTTTCTATTGTGTTTTTACTTCATGTCTATCTTCTGTTCGTTATCACAAATATTGACTGTTGATCGCTTCTACAAACATAAGGCATATCTCAATATGCTGGATACTACTTCATTGAATTGAGCTTCTCACTAGAGCAACTATACAAGTCATACTTGAAATTACAATTACATGTACTTAATCGGTCTTTTCGAGTATTTGTACATGTATCGATATTGTTTCAGTATAAGTAGTTTCATGGCAGTACATGTGCTTGTTGTTACTTATCATAGCTCTGTTTAAAAAAAAAGAAGAGTTAGTAAAGAAATACGAAAAGCAGGAGATCGGTAGGGAAAATATATGGTCGATGAAACAGTACGCCATCAGTCACATTTGGTAGATAGATGTAGTAAAAACTCATTTCTGATCCAGTATAATCTAACGAGCTATGTAATTGAAAGTGGAGTGCTTTTTCCAATATCCTAATACTTTGTGATTTTCATGAGTTGTTTCATCGTCACATGTGTGATATATCGATTTAAAAAAATAGTTCATTATTACAAAAACTATGAGCAGAAAAATAGGGCAGAGATACAAATATTTAAGCGAATACATTTAGATACATGATCAGTACTTTAAAATACTTGATCTTGAATAATATAGAAGAACTAAATAAAATTGAATTCGTGTAGAAACAATAAGAGACATCAGGAGAATGAAAAAACATTGATATTCCATTATCACTCTTAATATTTCATCATGTATCACATAGCTCGAATTCTAATCGACTGTATCATATTCACGACAAGTCATTGAGTGTTTCTGATGTCATTTTGTTTTGAACATGCAAACAAAATAAATATGAATTATTTTGGAGCGCAGTTGAGTTCTAGATAGTTCACAAATGCCTACTTATAATTCAAGATGATCCCTTTACGTAATCAATTGGTGTTCATAGCATTAGTTGACTTCTGAAATGAAGAGATGGTTTGACAAAATTGTTCTATTGGATTGAATAGATTCGAATACCGGTTCCATTCTCGTCGTATTCAACTCTACCAGCTCAAAGTATTGTAGAAGCCAATGTTCGGATTGGCCACGTGAGTATTTTCTTCTAAGTTGTCTGTCTGAGTCGAATTGAAACAATTTGTTTCGTTTGTTGAAGGTGAAACAAGATATTGAGTCTCTGCTTCGGCCATTGGTTCCTCTTCTGCTCATTTCCAAACCGGAAATACCGAAACCAACATTTCTTCACTTGTCCATCATTCAAAAACTTGCCATGAAGGTTTGTCTATTTGATTCGATTGAAGCATTCTTCGATCTTTATTGTTTCAGCCGGAAACATTGGAACTTTTAGAACTTTTCGGTTATTTTCCAAGTGGGAACGGTGATTATACATTGATTGATGCAAAATCCAAGCACGAAATAACGCAGCGTACGGAAGCTGCCTGGGAATTCCGTCGATTTTATGATGAATTGAAGAAGATCAAGGATGATCATGTCGGTGTACTTGAATATTATTTAAGTGTATGATTCTTCGCTACGAAACAATTCCATCATATACGAAATTTTCTTTATTCTAGCATTCAAAAAGTGCGATTAAGGCAACCGAGTTGTGTTTCTAAATCGGTTCGTAATTGAAAATAATTATTTATTTGAATACGAAGTTGACCGATTTTTGTTTCTCTTTCAGACGATGATCATCAATTCTCAACTTCAACTATATATATATATATTATGGGACCTAGTTTGTTTTTTGAGAAATGCATCATTCATGTTTATTGTCTATCTTTTCTGCTAGCTATTACGATCAACACAGAGCATCGTATTACTTATTTTTATTTCTCTCGTCAATGTTCGCTACTGATGTACTCAATCATTTGTCAGTGAGAAATTGATGATAAGAGAAACTTCCTGTGTGAAAATATTTTCCCTTTCCTATATCAATCCCTTATTTACAAACATTGTATTGAATTTTGTTTCCTGAATGTCATCAAGTAAAACTTTTTTTAAAATTTTTACAATCATGATTTTTCTTTCATCAATTGATATTAAGTCAATGGTTCATTATAGTCTTGAGGTTTTGATTGGTTCGTATCAAAATTATCAACAATTTTTCTGACAGACCGATATGAATGCGACTTCTTCTTCTCACAAAGAAGCTGTTTGTGTTGTCAGTTAAAGATATGACATATATTCGAGTCAAATGAAAACTCTCACCGCCAAACTAACAAAGTTAAAATATCAGCGGCTGTTGGCTTGCCTACAGGGAGATATTTGATGTTTACGGTACTCACGGTTTGGATACGTAGGAACATTAGAATTATTTACATGAATTTTTTATGTAATTAACTGAGTATTTCAATAGTAGGCCACAAGAATTTTTCTGAAATTTATCAATAGCATTACGATCACATTAATTTCGATTTTATTTCAACTGAAAACAATAGATTATATAGTATACTATTTTAACAAATGTATTACAAGTGTAGATATAGATCTTCAATCAAATGATAGTAACAAAGAGTTTTTTTGCGCCAAGAACACATTATTAGTGTTCGTTCATTGCATTGTTAATGGAACAATACAAATCGTAAAATTTGAAGTAAACATCTTTTGGTTTTTCAATTTATTCAACTATGTCATTTGTTATTCGAGCTTGTATAAATCCATTCTTAATGAGACTTTTAAATTGCGTAGCTGATAATTGATTGTGAATAACAGAATGTATGTTGATGAAATATTGACGATCACTTATAGCCATTTTCGTTCGATTTTTTGCATGAATAGATCGCCATGAACGAAACAAATAAAGATCTTGTGGTTGAATATAATCGATTGATTCTTCAGGAAAAATCAATAATTGACTGTCTTGATTAGGAAATACTGCTCTAAATTTGATTAGATCAACTTGAGTTTTCCAAGAATCAAGGAAGAGAAGAAATTTTTTAATAATCAATGGATGTAGAACTTCATTTAAGAAAACGTGATGCTTTTCATTGCTGCTTTTTCCGGATTTTGAAGCTCTGACTACAACATTTGGTGGTACAATCAAATCTTTTTGCACTCTGTTACCGAATTGATTTTCATTTTTCTGCAGAATGAGTAACAACTTGTTTAATAAATAACTGTTAGCTGATGTAACTTGTTGAATTGTATAAGAATGTGTTATATTATATTTCTTTTTGACAGTTACTTCTGTTGTTCTTTCGCCAGTCAAAGAAAGGATCCTTGCCCTGGTGAAACATCTCGTAAGCAAAATCTTGGCTAAGATACAAGGTACAGAAATGTTAACAGATCTTGAAAATTTAGGTACAAGATAATCATATTATCTTGCACCAAGATCTCGAATCAGATCTTGGGTATATACTAAGATAAAACGTGTTGCATGCATCGTGATTTGCGACACAATGCATAATACATTCTGAAAGCGTGGTTCGAACCTATCAAATAGCGCATTTATTATTTTTTTTCTGTAAAACCATGTTATGACATTTTTTCAACTTATTTTCATTTTAATGATTCCTATCCCAAATAACTGAAGCAAGTCAGATCGTGGAACCTGTCTGATCTTGAGATGTTTCGATCTCTATCAAACTGCTTCAGGGTAGTCCTCTCTCAATCATCGATCGAGATCAGCATGTTTTCGAATGATCAACACTCAAGAAATAGTTTTAAAAAAAACTATGTTGAAAATGCATGTTTTGTATGTTTAATCACGTTGTCTATATATGGCTCTGTATGCATTAAAAAACAGTGAATGACTAGTCAGCATGTAAACACGAATGATGTCGCTCTTTTACTCAAGATCTTGTGAGAAGATAATAGTAAACGATATCTTTTCTATGATCTTGACAAGATCTTAAATACAGATTTATCCGATACGACCAAAATATTCACATACAAATTATCTTTTTAAGATCTTGCTTACAAGATGTTCGACTAGGGTGAAGAGATGTATTCTTGTTGAAATGAACAATGATCGCTGTTTAAAACTTCACTTGTAGAATAATTTAATATTAAAGGTCTTTTATTTCTGACTATGGATGTACTGAGACTGAAGCTTCACTAACAAAGATGAAAATTTTTCTCTATCAGGAACCTCCGAGACTCTACGAGATTTTTATTGAGAACTGCTCAGCTTGACCTCAGATAGCTATGTGTATAACCGAACAGATTGGCTACGAAAAGAAAAGGTCAAGTCTCGATCAAAAAAATGAAAAAATAAAAATCTTGGCCGAGACTTGGCCTTTTCTTTTGGTGACCGATCTGTCCGGTGGTACACATAGCTAGTTGAGACCAAGCTGAGCAATTCTCAATAAAAGTCTCGTAGAGTCTCAAGGGTTCTTGATAGAGAAAAATTCTCATCTTTGTTAGTGAAGCTTCAGTCTCGGCACATCCCTATTTCTGACC